TTCCGTTTGAGTGCCAGGGACTGTGCACGGCTGAGGAGTAGGGAGGAATGATGCCTGGCCTCTGCCCCAGTCATGGGCTGCTCTTGTTCCCCAGGACCACCATGCAGGTGTCTGAAGACCAGCCCTGTACCCCCTGAGTCTCTTTTTCTGCTTTAACCAGCTTCTCTGGCTTGCCCCACTCCTTACTTGACATATAAAGTCAAATTCGTTTTATGTGGAATCGTAACTGTGACTTTTCTGCCTCTAAATGCGTTTAAAGCCAAATCAGCCTGAGTTCCCACTTGCTGCAAGACCACTATCTTGCAAACTGTGTGCCAGGCTTGATTCTAGGTACCGTATATGCATTAACCCAAGTAACCCTTATTCACCATCACGACCCCACTTTACAGACAAGGAACTGAGGCGGAGGCGGATTAGGAACTTGCCTACAGTTTGTACCACTAGAGAAGGAGCAGCAGAGCCTGCTGCCTGGAGCTCGGGCCCTCTGCCGCCCTCAGCCTCTGAGTCCACACGCTCTCTGGCCCCGCCGACCTCTGTCCCCAGCCCCACTCAGCACGTGGCCCGTCCCACCTCTGCAGACAGGAGCCAATGTTTCATTCTCCCAAGGCAGAAGCGCGCTGCCAGGAGCATCACAGGGAAACACATGCCTCCCTGTTAGTTAGATAACAAATCGCTGCCCTGGTTCCCATCACTGAGAATTCATGTGTTCTCTAAACACAGAGGTGTGGGCAGGCCATGCCAAGAGCAAGCAGCCTGACCCAGGCGTAGCAGAACCAGGCAGGTGCAGATAAGCAGGGCCAGGGCAATGCCCCCCATGCCTGGCACAGCCATCCAGACGCCTCTGCTCCACGGCCACGTCTGGTCCCTCCAATAGACACAGCCCACCGGGGCCACACGTGTGAGGCTTTGTCACCCTGCAGCCAATTCCTAACCTAAAGTCTCAGATGGCTGGCCAGGAGGGCCTCAGTGTTTCCCTCTAAGGATAACAGTGAGTTATCCTTAGAGGAATAACGAGTAACTCGTGGGGCCTTCCTTTGGGCCAGGCCCTGATCGGAGCACTTGACAAGGAGCACCTCATTACTTCCATCAGCCTTACAGTATAGACACTGCTACTATCCCCATTTCACCAGTGAGGAAGCCCGGAACAAGGGTGGTTAACACTTGTTCAAGGTCTCAGAACAGGTAGGCTGCAGGGCTAGGCTCAGACCCAGGCAGAGGCCCCTATTCCCCAGCCAGAAAAGCCAGGGGGTTGGCCTCAGGGCAGCCTCTCAACCCATTCCCCTGCCACTCCCCGGTGCCCTGTGTCCACCGCACTCTTGGCCCCGCACCGTTACTGCCCTGCCTGCCTCCGAGACTGCAGTTCCTGCAGCATCAGGGGCTCTGGAAGCAACAAGTTCAGATTCACCGAGGCCCTTGGTGGGGCTCCTGGTGGCTCCAACCTAGGGGATCATGGCCTTCCCAAGAGAGGGTCAGTTTTGTCCTGAGGTGAGGAGGTGGGTGGGGAGAGGTAAGAACAGTCCCAAACTGGGGCATCCAGAAGCCCAGCCCTGTCCGCACCTGTGACTTTGCTCCTGCCACCTGGGGCCCAATAGGAATCAGGATCCATGTGTCAGCAGGAGGAGGAGGGCCCACGGGAGGCCAGTTCCATCTGGGGGGCTGTGGGGTGGGCAGAACAGTGTGGGTGAGGGGAGAGCAGGAGCCCCGGCCTCCCCACTCCCAGCCCCACCCCTGCAGCTCCTCCTCAAAACAGTGGCTGTATCAGCCTCCTGTGGCTGCTGCAACAAATCACCACACACTCCGTGGCTTGAAACAACAGAAATGCGTTCTCTTCTGGCCATGGAGGGCACAAAGCTAAAGGCAAGGTGTTGGCAGGGCTGGTTCCTCCGGAGGCTCCGGTGGCAAGTCCATTTCCTGGGCTTTTCCAACTTCTTTCCAGAGGCGCCTGCTTTCCTTGGCTTGTGGCCCCATCCAGGCCCTGCCCCAGCCTCTGCTCCATCTCCCAGCTCCTCCTGCAGACCTAGCCCTCCTGCCACCCTCCACAAGGACCCTGTGATGACACTGAGCTGAGCCCATCCAGACAACCCAGGAGAACCTTCCCATCACAACATCCTCCACTTAATCCCATTTGCAAAGTCCCTTTTGCCATAGAAGGTGACATTCACAGGTTGCAGGGGTCAGGACTGGGACATCTTTGGGGGCTTCTCTTCAGCTGACAGCAAATGGCAATTTTGAGTAAGGCTCTGCCAGGCGCTCACCTGTCAAGCCCACCCTTGATCACTGTCCCCTTTACAGGTAAGACATCTGCAGCTCCCTGATGGGGGGGCACCTGGCAGAGCTGAACTGAGTATGGGGAATCCCCAGTCCTGGCACTGTCCTCTACACCACCCTGCAAATGCAGTGTCTGCACCCAGGCAAACCCGATGCGGCTACAGCGTCTCCTGGGCAGCACACACTGCTATTTGTGACACTCATTCACTCATTCATTCATCCCATCCCTTTAAAGTCAGTTGAGCCTCTCTGCTGGGTGCCAGGCCGCCAACAGACCCAATCCTGTACCCGCAGTGATATTTCTAGGCTAAACATCCAAACTGTCCTGGCTCTGAAATCCAGCCTGTGCCCAGGGACTCAAATAACCTGTCTCAGGGTTTGTCTGCTTTCAAGACTGCAGACGCCTCCCCAGTGCCGCTTGCAGAGGAAGTTCTGCTGAGTACCCCAAATTGGCCTGCACAGAAGGTCTGGTAGAAACCCCTCTGCTGACCCCATGCACATTCTATGTATCATCTCATGGGTCCTCCCACCCGCCCGCTTTACAGGCCAGGAAACTGAGGCTCAGCGGAGGCCATGGCCACGTCCCCAGGTTGCTCCGTGCGGAAGATGCTCTCTCTGACCTCGTGCTGTCTGGCCCAGTCTCCATGTCACACCTTCCCTGACCTCAGGGCCTCAGAGTCTGTCTTGGTTCCGTTACTGCCCCTGTTGCCTTGCTCTTCAAATTTCCAAACATAGACGTGGCCTGCGGGGCTGACCCTGGAGATACCATCACATCCCAGACACCTGTGGACTGTCCTAGCTGGTGACCAGATGGACAGGAGCGGAGTGTCCCCTGCATGGAGTGGAGAAGGGTAGCCGCTGGAAGACCAGGACTGGACTGGATGGATGGACAGGAACTCAAGCCTGGGCCAAGAGGTGGGGGACGTGGCCTCCTCCGTTGCCAGCTGGAATCTGGGGTCAGTGTAGGCCCTCACCTGGGTCAGTGCCAGCCCCAAGCCACTCATCTTTGCCTCAAATTTGAATGACAGCAGTCCCAGGAAGAAGGGGTGACGGCCGGGCCGGAAGGCAGAGCGTCTGCCTCTGCTCCCATATGGTTTGGGTTTTCCAGCAGGTGCAGGCCTCGCCGCTGCCAAGCCTGAACAATGCGCTCCACCCTCAGCTTTGGGCTCAGGGAAGCTGGGTTCAGATCTGGCCTCCTGCCCCACCAGGTGTGGGACTGAGCAAATCTCACCTCTTGTCCAATGTCCTGCCCTGGAAAGGGGGACAATGATGCCTCCCTCTTTGGGCCACTGCGGGATGGAAAGAGATCAGGTGTGTGAATCCCCAGGGCTGGGGCCGGGAAAAAGCGGGGGCTGGCTCAGGTCAAACCACTCCTCTTCCTTACATGCCGAGACATGGCCTTCCAGCAGGTGCCTCTCGTGTCCCCAGGGCCAGGTTTCCCTCGCCTCCCCTCTGCAACCCTCCCCACCTCTGCATTCCAAGTCTGTCCAACTGGAAGCTCCTACAGCAGAAATCAAGAAGAGAAAACAAACAAAACAAAACAAAACCAGCAAAGCAACCTGCTTTAGGAAGAGGGAGGACATCCCATGAACAAACATGGCTGAGACCACTGAGACGTCCCAGTCAAGGCTGCATGCATCTCAGGCCTCCTGTTCCATGGACTGCTGCTGCCAGGCCTGTGGTCTCAGCAGAAGCTGCCAAGTGCCAGTGCGCCCAGCTCCTCTGAGCCCCTGTGAACCTGCCACCAGCACAATCATCGAAACGCTCCAGCACCCTTGGAATCATCACCATCCCACACAACTCCCTTTCTGGATGTTCTGTTGATTTACGGACGTTCTCACAGACTCCAAGCTGCTCAGATCTCTCCTTCAAAGTCACCATTAGAGCTGAACCCAGGGGCCTAAGGGCCCACCTCATGCCGAGCACCAGCAGGAGCTCTGGGTGCCGGATCCTAGAGCTCACAATTCCCTGCACGAGATGTGGGTGACATCCCATTTGAGGAAACTGAGGCACAGAGAGGGGAGCCGGGATGCAAACACTGGTCTGAGTCCCTTTCTGTGACCATGAACTGCTTTGCTGAACGGAGTCAGATTCGCAGGACGGCTTTGTCCTGGTGCCTCTGCCGACCTCGATCTGGGCTCACGGTGGGACAGGACACAGACACGCGTTCACAGGAGGGGTCTTCTCACGGAACCCACGGTGGGCAGCCTCGGAAAGACCCCTGTCTCCTATTGTACAGCCAGCCAGAGAACAAAGTCAGGAAGCTCCCCCGGACCCAGGAAACAGCGAGGAGAGCTCAGGTGGAAATCACAGCCTAATCAAAACCAGATCAACAACTAACTTCCGAAGAACGGGCCTGCTCAGCACTGCCTTCCGAGGGCTCCCAACCCAAGAGAGCTGCTTCTCTCTCTGCTTCCAGACCCGCAGCTCCTCCCTGCTGTGCCCTGATGGATGCGTGCTACCCCCCAACCGGGGGGAAGACAAACGTGCCCCAGGTATGCAGGCGGCGCCTTCGTCCAAAGCCTGGCCTCTGACTTAAAGCACAGAATGGTGTCAGGTGGCACTGGGAAGGGTGGCAGCGAGAGCCGGGAGGGAAACATCTCACGCTCCGGCCTGGTCCAGAGTAGGAGACAGCAGGCAGGGCAGCAGCTTCCTTGCCCTGCAGAGTGAGCGGCGCAAGGCGAGAGCCAGAGCTGCAGCCGGAGCGGTGGCCACGCCCGGACAGCACCTACCTTCCTCTTGTTGGTCGGGCAGATGTAGAAGTTGTCGATGACGGTGGTGACGCCAGGCTGGAGGGTGAGCTTGGTGTAGGACGTCCCGAAATCCGACGACCTGGGGGAAAAGGGGGACAGCTATCAGCCACGTGCCCTCCAGGTGCGGCCTTCATCAGCCCACACGGTGTCCGGCCCCTGCCCTGTGACCGTGTGGGCAGAGTGCCCCAGACACCTTGAGTGCAGTCCTGGGCACTCTGCCTGGGGGCAGTGCATCCCGACAAGGCAGGAGAGGAGACCGGGCTCTCTCAGGAACACTGAGGACTCACGCAGGTGTGGAGCTTAGGTCCAGAGCTAGGATCCAAAGTCAGGTCCTTCTGACTCCAAATCCCAGCCAGTCATTCCTCCCCAGTGCTTCCTATGTGCCGGGCAGCTCTAGGTTACCGTATGCATCTCACAGCTGATAGAGGAGCCTCCAAAGGGATAGTTCTCTGCCTGAAATCACTTAGTTAGTAAGTGGCTGACTCAGGATTTGACACTGGCCCGTCTGATTTCAGGCCGATGGCTGTGCTGAGGCATTCCTGTGGCCTGTCTGCTTGCCTCTTTCCCTCTCTGGACTCTGAGCTCCTCCAGGGAGCCCCATCCTCTATCCTGACCACCACCTACAGCACAGGATGGTAGGGGACCGCACGCAGGTACCAGAGCTCGGGTAGCTGCTGGAAATCAGACCCAAAGCACTGTGCCCACCCTGGAGTGGCGTCTGCTGGGCTCGTGCTGGGAGACAGGGCTGTCCACTCAGTACCTCCCTGGGCAAGGCTCTCCTGGCCAAGTGAGAATCTGAGAGTACACTGAGCTTTAAAGCGCCTTGGCTCCCCAGCAAGGAGAGGGAGATAAGCCACAAAGGCAACTTCACATCTGTTGTTCGGAAGCCGTCCATGCATCAGGACATGGAATTAATTCTCCATTGAAGATTAAGTCCCAGAGACCCTGAAACCAACACCTCTTATCATCACCTGTTAAAATACACTGGGATTGCAGAATATGCCCTGGCTCTACTGGAGAGGATCAGAGAGGTGCTCGGGGAAGCGTTTCCCATCTCACCCCTGCTCCATCGATGCAGATTCCAGACACAGACCCATGGTGGGGAGAGGAACATGGGCGGAACGCACGACCCTGGCGCTCCTGTCGTGGGCAGCATGCCTTGCAGGGCCTCCCCGTGTCCGACCACTGCCGAGATATGCTGCAGGGAGCTGAGCTCGGGGGACTGGGGGCAACTCCCCAGCTTGGGCGAGGAGGCCTTGGGCTGGAACCAGGCTTCAGTGCCTGCCTCAGACCCCAGCACCTGGCTCCGAGCCCGGCCTGCGCTGACGTGTGCGGCCCGACTGCGAGGCCAGTGCTTCTCAGACTCACCCAGTTTGTCCCTTGGGGGCCGAGGGGACAGGCCTGGAGCTGCTTGAGCATAAAGGCCCCACCCACTGGGAGCTATTTCATGTCCTTCTATAACACATCCTTGGTGGTTTCTCCATGGAGACATTTCCTACATCTTCAAGTGAACCTGAGGCTCCAGAAAAGTGGACTGTTTGTCATCTCTGGGCATGCTGGCCACGTGGCCACAGGTCCCCAGAATGTGTCCCTCACAGGCCTCAGGGCCACAAGATTCCTCCTAGGCCAGGACAAAGAGCAGACCCCCAACCCCCAGCCCTCTAACTCCCAGGGGCCAGCCCCTCCCCAGGATGGTAAGGGGCCTCAGGACCCATCTGGCCTCTGTCTGCCCCTGGCCTCCCCAGGGAGGACCAGGCTGGAGCGAACAAAGAAGCCCAGTGGAGGTGTAATTAGGACGCACTTACTCTCAAACCTCAGAGAATTGATTTTCTTTGGGAAGGATGCAGAGAGAGGCCCATTAGCAGAGGATCGATCTGATCCAGAGACCCAGAAAATTCCAGGGCCCTTGCAGAAACAAATGGTTGTGTTGACAAGCCTGACACAGGGGAAGCCTCCCCTTCCTTCCCCACCCTGCTGAGCCATCTCCAAGACCTGCCTATCGATCCTGCCTCCCAAATATCTCTCAATCCTCTCTTGCCTTCACTCCCGGCACTGCTCGTCTTAGCCCAGCATCCAGCCGGCCTCAGTCCTGCTCCCCGCCCTGGGCCAGAAGAGCCTGCTCACACCTGCAAACTCCAGAGCTCCTGCCAGGTGTGGCCTGCAGAAAGGGCTCATGAGCAAAGCCCCTGCTCTCTACGAAGGGGCTCTTCTAGGAGGGGAGATGGAGGGAGGCAGATGGACAACAAGGAAAGAAGCAAAAATTTGACAGCATCAAATGCGATGGGGGTGGGAAGAAGAATCAACAGTGTGGGGGTGCAGGCGGATGGTGAGGGAGGGGCGGTGGGGCCGCTGGGTTGCAGACAAGAGTGGTAGAAAGGCTCCTTGGACAAGGTGATGTTTGCGCAGAGCCCGGAAGGAAGCAGAGAGGTTGTGCCTGGCCGGGGAAAGGCATTTGAACCGGCTTGAGTAGTGTTCCCCAATTCCCGTGTACCCGGAACCCATGAGTGTGGCCTAATTTGGAAACAGCATCTCTGCAGATGCAGTTAGTTAAGATGAGGTCATGCTGGATGAGGGTGGACCCTGAGTCCTGTATGGCTGGCGTTATAAGAATTTGGAAATTGGGACACAGATAAACACAGAGAAGGCCGTGTGCAGACGGAGGCAGAGAGTGGGGTGATGTGGCCGCAGGTCGAGGGTACCAAGGACCCGGGCAGCCATGCTGGGAGGAGAGGCAGAGAGCAGAGGCTCCCTCAGAGCCTCCGAGAAAAACACTCTCAGACTTCTGACCTCCAGGACCCCAAGAGAAAGATCACCACGGTGGTACTTTGTGATGGCAGCTGCGTTCCAGGTACAAGGGCCCTGAGGACAGGGAAGGCGGGTCCATTTAAAGCACAGTCTCCGCAGGGCACAGTGCCTCATGCCTGTAATCCCAGCACTTTGGGAGGCCGAGGCATGAGGTCAGGAGTTCGAGACCAGACTGGCCAACACGGTGAAACCCCCGTCTCTACTAAAAATACAAAAATTGGCCGGGTGACGTGGCAGGTGCCTGTAATCCCAGGTACTCAGGAGACCGAGGCACGAGAATCTCTTGAACTCAGGAGGTGGACGTTGCAGTGAGCTGAGATTGCACCACTGTACTCCAGCCTGGGTGACAGAGCAAGATTCCATCTAAAAAAATAAAAGAAAAAACCTAGCAGCTGCCAGCGCCTAGGAAGCCCCTCGCCCTGCAGGCAATGCAAACCCAATTCCTCAGATATCCACGACTCCCAAGTCCAACTCCTGCAGATACGAGGAACATCGATTCACCCACTCACCCATTCATTCCCTCTATTTGTTTAACGTTTTATGCTTTAAGGCCCATACTACGGGCCTAGGAATCCAGATTCACCCCCTCATTCAAATCTTTCACATGATGTGTGCATGTTGAGTTCCTGCTGTGTGTCCCATCACTACACTGAGGCTGGAATCCATGGGCAGCACGGGCACTGTCCCCTGCTCTCATGCGGGGGGACAGGCTGGCTGGTGTTGTGGGGGGAGAGAGAGAGAGAGAGAACACAAGCAGACAGACTCTGCAGCCAGGAGCAGCGATGCTAACAGGCACGTCCAGAGAGTCCTGGGAGACACTAAGGGGGACATCAAACTGAGGGGGTCCGGGTGCCATCCTCAACCCCCTAGGCTGCCCCCACTACCAGGTCTAATCCATCACTGACCGGCTGACTTTTCCTCCTAAAGCTTTTAAATTCCATCCCTACATCTCCCTGCCCACCTTAGTCCAGGTCCCCTTCCTCTCCTGTCTGTGCACGAGGAGCACCTGGCATGAGGGCCCCAGGCACAGCGGAGGGGGCGCAAACACCAGCAGGCTGACTGCACCTGGGGGGGCCTGTGAGATTCCCATGGCTGCTGTAACAAAGGCCCGCAGACTCAGCGGCTGAAAACCAGCCACATTCGTTATCTACAGTTCTGGAGGGCAGGAGTCTGCAGGGGGTCTATAGAGGGCTAATCAAGGTGTGGGCACCTCCTGGAAGCTCCAGGGGAGAACCCACGCCCTGCCTTTCCCGCCTGCTAGCGACCTCCTGCGGTCCTCGCTCTGAGGCCTGTCACTCCACTCTGCTTCCCGTCACAGCCTCCCGTCACAGCACCGACTACCACAGTCTCACGTCCCTCTGGCTCCCTACTGTGATTACAAAGACCCCACGAGGATAATGCAGGATAATCCCAAGATCCTTCATTTAATCCATCTGCAAAGTCCCCTTTGCCATGTAAGGTAGCACAGTCACCGTTTCCGGGGATTAGGACGTGGACGTCTGTGGGAGGCGTCGCTCTGCCGACCACAAGTGGGCATTTGAGCCGGGTCCAAGGCATGTGTAGGAGCTGGTTCGGGAGCAGTGTCCCCGCGTGAGCTGTGACAGACAGCAGGGTGGCTGGAGGTGGGTGGGGTGGGCGGTCCCCAGGGACACAGAGAGGGCTGGACCCGCATCGTCGGGCAGCACCACTGACCCGCAGGCCGCCTAGCACTAGAAATACGGTGAATTGTTTTGAATGGAGATGCCCTGGGACTGTGAAATATAAACTGATTTCAAAGACTTAGCATTCAAAAGAATGTAAAATATTTCATTATAATGTTTATATTGATTACATGTTGACATAATCTTTTGGATATACGGAGTTAATTAAAAGCTGCGATTAACATTAATTTCACCTGTTCTTTATTTTACCCCACAGGTTTTATTTCTTAAAGCAGTTTCAGATTCACAGCAAATAGAGTAGAAATGAGAGAGTTCCCGTACACCTTCTGCCCCCACCGTCAGCGCCCCAACCGGAGACTCCCTGGTACAATCGGTGAGCCGCCCTGACGCGTGGTTGCCACCAGAGTGCAGAGTTCGGGTCAGGGCCAGCCCTGGGGCTCCTGCACTCTATGGGTCTGGGCACCTGTAGGATGACAGGGCCCCTACACGGTGGTGTCACACGGAGCAGCGTCACTGCCCCAAGAATCCTCTGTTCTCTGATGATTCATCCCCCCGCCCCCTGCCTCCTGGCAACCACCGATCCTTTTACCATCGCCATAGTTATGCCTTTTCC